TTTTCTTGTAGAACTCCAAAGATGATTTTTGAAAACTGATATGCCTCCTCACAAATGTTTAGGTTGGAGTGTGAAATTTTATAAGCATAATTTCAAATCATGGCATATTACAAATATCAGTATAAAAGAAGAAAAGAAAAATAAGCTGGTGTGTTGGCACATGCCTGTAACACCAGCTACTTGGGAGGCAGGAGGATCATGAGTTTGAGACCAGCCTGAGCTGCATAGTGAGACCATGTCTCAAAATATAACAAAAAGCACTTGGACTTGGGCTTTAGACACCACGTGAATAGATCACGCCCAGCATGCACAGGGCTTGTGGTTCAATCTCCAGTACTGAAAAAGAGAAAAGGAAATAATATCCCTCTCTCCATGCATTTTAAGGCCTGCACCATTGGGACAGTATCAGGGTCCTCTTTAACTATGGTATCTTCCTGTCACCCCTTTCTCTCACTGAAGTCAGGCTTTATTTCATACCTCTCACAGAATCTTATCCTTATATATAGTATTTGTATACCTGAAAGTCCTTTTTATATCAAATACACATATAAATGAATTATTTTTGAAACAGAATCTCACTATACAACCTAAGGTAGATATCCAGGCTGCCTTCAAACTTGTGATCCTTCTGCCTCTGCCTCCCAAGCGCTGGGTTTACAAACATGTGCCACCTTGCCAGGCTAGACTGATTTCTAATACATCTGTCTAGTACACAATCTAGCAAAAGCACCGAATGCATATGCATTTTTATAAGTACTTATCAAACATAAAGAACACAATTTAATTGGAAGCACATACTTTTATGAGCTACACAGGACCATTCATTTACCCACATATGAATATCACTCATGCTTGCTGTAAGCATCAACTCTGTTTGTTTTGTGTTTTCATAGATGTAGATGCTGTGAAAACTTGTTCACATAAATTATAGTTGGGACTAGAAGGTACTTTATTGTAGTACTGTCAATCAATTCTATGAATTCTTTCCAAGTAATATGCCAACAATTATATAGCGATTTATTATAAAAATATTTTTCATCTCCTGTCAACTGTTAACTTGATTAAGTCTTTCTTTAGTGTTGTTGAAGGCAAAGAATTGGAAACATATTACTTGGAAAAAGATTTGTTAAAACAGTCATTAGGAGTTATTTACTTTTTCAGTTTCTGGGAATAATACCAAAAAACTCCCTTTAATAACATTTATCAAATAACTATTAATTATACTTGTTGTGGGACTGGAGAAATGACTCAACTGCTAAGAACACTGGCTGCTCTTGCAGAGGACCCAGGTTCGGTTCCCAGCACCCACATGGTGGCTAACAACCATTTGTAACTCCAGGTCCAGGGGACCCAACACCCACTTCTGACCTCTGTAGACATTGCATGCACGGGTGTACTTACATGCATGCAGGCAAAACACTCATACATGTGAAAATAAAAATAAAAATTGAAAAAAGAGCTTGTTGTGTTCTATCCTAATATAAAGGAAGTTGTGGAAAAATGAAAGCACTACCTTATAACTGTCAATGTGAGTTTTAGAAGCTGGCTTATAGTGTGTGCTTGCAATGTTCCCAGCTCTTCTACTGTAGATTGGGTTCCTGCAGGTTCTAGACAATATTGAATTAGATTTCAAGTGACTTTTTTTCCCTCCATAAAATAATCCTATTTATTCAAATAAATGTAAATATTGCTCTGATTACCTTCAAATTCCTACATTCTTTAAAAGAAATTTTATTGCACTTTAAAAATCTTATTTTATGTGTATGAGTGTTTTGCCTGCATGTATGTAAGTACTATGTGCCTGCCTGCTGCTTGTGGAGGCCAGAAGGTGGCTTCGGATCCCCTGGAACAGGAGTTACAGATGGTTGTTAGCCACCATGTGGGTGCTGGAAACTGAACCCAGGTCCTCTGGAAGAGCAGCCAGTGCTCTTAACTGCTGAACCATCTTTCTAGACACTTATTACACTTTTATTTACTTATTTTGTATGCATAAGTGTGTGTGTGTGTGTGTGTGTGTGTGTGTGTGTGCCCATACATGTCACATCACGTACATGGAGGCCAGAGGACAGCTTGCTGGAGCCAGTTCTCTCCTTTCACCATGCACGGATCAAACTCAGGCTGTCAGGCTTAGCAACAAGTACCTTTACCAAGCTGAACCATCTTGCCTGCCGGTTTTTATTATTTGTTTGTTTTTGTATTTTTGACAGAGGGGGATTGTCCTAGTTTGTTCTTCCTTGCTGTGACAAAATACTCTGACCACTACCAACTTGGGGAGGAAAGGGTTTATTCAGCTTACATATCCCAGGTCACAGTTCATCTGGGAGCCCAAGGTAGGAACTCAGGGCCCGAACCTGGAGGCAGGAGCTGGAGCACAGGCCATGGAGGGATGCTACTTACTGGCTTGCTCCCCTGGCCCCTGCTCAACCTGCTTTCTTATGCAGCACAGGCCCACCTGCCCAGGGGTGGCACCACCCACAGTGGGCTGGGCCCTCCCACATCACTCATCAAAAAGATGCCCCTCAGATATGGCCACAGGCCAGTCCAATAGAGGCAATTCCCCAATTGAGGCTCCCTCAACCCAGGTGTGTCAAGTCGACACTAAAGCTATCCAGCACAGGGAGTCTCATGTAGTCCAGCCTGGCCTCAGACTCGGAGTCTTACCTGAACAGTGAACTGTTATGTGATTGTCTATTTTTAAATTTTTTTAATTGAAGTTTTGTGTATTTCATACATAAAATCATCTTTATACCCCTTCCCCTTTGACACCCTCCCATAGCTCCCCCTCACTGGAATTCATATATTCTATCATTTGTGTTAAGGCCTATCATGTAAAGTTAGTGCCCCCAGATGTCCCTCAGTACAAATTCATCCAGTGGGATCTAGTCAGCCTACCTAGAGTTCCTCCTTTAAGATCAACTCTTCCTCACCCAGCAATAATCAGCTGCCAATAATTCTTCGACTAAGATTGGGGCCTGCTGCTCATTTCCATGGTTGTGTGCTGGATTTTTGTCTGCTTGAGTTTGCCTGGGTCTTGTGCATGCTGACACCATTGCTGTAGGTTTGTATGAGAAGACTCCCAGGCTCCCGAATGTCTACTGCAGTTGGAGGTACAGTTGCCAGCCTCAGCTTCCCATTGCTTTGCCCTCAGGGACCTTAGGAGTGATTCATTATTTGACAGTAGTTGGGAGATGAAAAACATAGGAACATGAAATGAAATCTGTCGCCTGTCCTGCTGCCCCATGCTGTAATGACATTTCTCTGTTCTGCATCCCAGGTGTCCTCGTATGGACCACTACAAACATGCCTCATTGCCATTGCTCTGTCATAAGAATATATGCGGGACAGGACACTAGGTTTTCCATGTCTTGACCAAAGGAGGCTCCCTGAAGAAGTTGGCTTCTTTTACCTTTACAGCTATTGGTCCCTTAGAGGTTCTTAGGCTTTGATAGGAAGAAGACACATTCACAGAATGGGTGAAAGATAGGTCTGTCTTTTGTGAAGCGAGGGAACTTGATTATGAATGGAAAGAAGAAATAACCAGCCTGATGCCCCTGGGGCAGATGAGGTTTTAGAAAGAATATCTGCAGATTTTGAAGATCTGGGAATTGATTCCTTTAACAGGGTCTTTGCACTGTTAGCTCTTGTTGGGTGGGGTGGGGTCTTTATGTTCTCCCACTAGTGTGCAATTATCTCCATGAAGACAGCTGTCTTATGTTTCTTGTTGTCTACAATAATATGTTGAGATAGAGTTGGTTCTAATGCTCTTAGACTTTCTTTTTCTGGTGCAGGGAAGGAAGCCAGTGCTTCCTGTGTGTGTATGGTGTGTGTGTGTGTGTGTGTGTGTGTGTGTGTGTGTGTGTGTGTATGTGTGTGTGTGTGTGTGTGTGTGTGTGTGTGTGTGAATGCTATACCACCAAGCTACATTCTGACCTAAGAGTTAAACTTTAGAGCTGGTATTAATACATGATAATTAATACAGAAAAGCAAAAGATGTTAAAACTGCAAAAATGTTAAATTTAGTAAAACTATATAAGCAGATATAACAGTTTATTTTCATTGGCATATTCCCCTTTTATGCTTAAATTAAATTTTTTATTTATGGAACTGGAGAGATGGCTCAGCGGTTAACAGCACTGACTGCACTTGCAGAGGACCTGGGTTTGGGTCCCAGTATCCACATGGTAGCTAGCAACCATCTATAACTGCAGTTCCAGAGGATCCAACACTTTCTTCTGACCTCCTCAGGCATTGTACAACATGGGTACACTTACATACATGCAGGCAATGCACTCATACATATAAAATAAAAATAATAAACTATAAAAATTGATTTACATTAAAGGTGTATTTGCTTTATCAGATAATCTATGGTGCATTTTATTGATTTCTCTTAGAACACATGGCATTCATGTTGCAGCAATAAAATTCCTTAAATGTTAAAATAATTATAGTATCATTCTTGCAATGCTAAAATTTCCTTTGACTATTTTTCACATTTTCAAGTTCTTGTTTGTTATACATTGCTACATGTGACCCCATACCTACTATCATGTTATATATTATTTTAAAAATGTTTCAAATGCCAGGCATGGAGGTGCATGCCTTTAATCCCAGCTCTTGAAAGGCAGAGGCAGGCAGATCTCTATGAGATAGAGGCCAACCTGGGCTACATAGGGAGTTCCAGGCCAGTTGGGGATACAGGGAGACCATGTCTCCAAAAAAAGACCAAAAAACCACCAAAAACTTCAAGTAATAAACATGTAACAGAATTGTTGAGAAAGGACAGGGCCATGGTCTTCAAATTGTATTTTTTAAAATCACCTAGGCTTGCTCATGTTTGTAAAGTATGTTGAAGTGATTCATACTTACAGGTATCCACTGGCGTATGATATGTATTTAGTAAGCAGAATGAATCTTCAAACATGATTAAAGTTATACACTAATACAAAAAGATGACTGGTTTTTGCCAAAGTAAAATCTTAGCTTTATGTTGTTGACAGAAAACGCTTCCAAGGCAAGACTACAACAAGAGCTTTGCCAAGACGTTCCCTTGCCTGCCGGAACTGTGCCACCCAAGGACTCTCCGCAGCTCAGGACCAAGATGTGGAAATCCACAGAGGTAAGGCACTGCCAGTCCCTCTTTGCTGCTGTATCATCACCAAAACTGGGTTTTAAAACATGAATCTATTCTTCTGTAGTTCTGCAGGGTTCCATAGGGCCCAACCAGCAATGTCTGCAGCGCCGCCTGCCTGTCCGTTTTCCCGGCCTCCTGTGTTCTGAGACTGCTCATCTTTCCACTTGGTTTCTATGCTGTTTTGTGTTGTTATTCAGGGTCTTAAAATATGAATAACGTCAAATTGTTTTTTCCTTTATATTATAGTATGTGCTATTTATTTATTTATTTATTTATTTATTTATTTATTTATTTATTTATTTATTTTGTAGTGCTGAAAAGTCAGGAGCCATGAAGCCTCTCAGACAAGTCACGTCTCAGGCAGGTCATGTGCTGGTCAAGAATTCCAACCTGCCGATAAGTAAGCTTCATGGCCAACTCGGCATGGACCCCAGGGCCTTGTGCATGCTAGGCAAGCACTCTACCATTGAGTTACATCTACAGCCCTAAAAAAACTTTTTATTACAACTTTACAGGAATTTTCAAAAATAGCACAGGATATCCTAGCCCCAGCTTCCTCCAATGTCATTTGACAATTTCATGTATTTATATAATGAATGTTAATCATTTTCATCCCTCCTTCCTGTCCTTCAACCCCCTCCCTCCCCCACTGGAACTCCTCTTCTCAAGCCCCTTCCTGTTTCCATGTCTCTTGTGTGGCCCAAGTTTGATAAGTTACCTGCCCAAGCATGGATGGGAGGTTATTTAGTGAAGCAAGGACCACTGAAGAAAATGATCTCCCCTCCCCTAACAACTGTTAATTGCCAGTAGTCTCTCTGAGAGAAGTGGGCCTCATGGGCCCCTCCCCAATCCATGGTGATGAAATGTTATTGAGTGTGTGCAGATGGCCACAGCTGTGGTGAGTTCGTGAGTGCAACATCTCTGTCACATCCTGAAGACATCTTTTTGCCACACATCTCCCCAACATGGATTGGCTCTTACATTCTTTGGCCTCGTCTTCTGTGATGTACCCTGAGGATTGGAGGGGTGATCTAGGTGTCCCATTTAGGGCTGGCACTCCACCATCATTATTCCAAGCGTTTTGGCCAGTTATGGGTTTCTGCAGTAGCCACTGCCTGCTGTAGTAAGAGGTTCCTCTGAAGGCTGACACAGCACAAATCTCTAATGGCGAACCACGTTGACATGTCATACAATTGTGGCATAATATCAAAGCCAGGACATTGGTATGTTAATGCTAACCAGACTATAGACCTTACTCAGCACTTAGTTTTCAAGTTTTTGATTAACTTTGTGTGTTTGTATATGTGGTTCTGTGTAATTTTGTCACACATTACATTTGTGTATCCAGTGCCACATTCAGGATAAAGAACCAGTCCATGGGCTGGAGAGATGCTCAGTGGTTAAGAACATAGGCTGCTCTTGCAGAGGACCCGGGTTTGGTTTGGGACACCCACATGGTGATTCACAACCATCTCAACTCCAGTTCCAGGGGATCCAGTGCCCTCTTCTGGCCTCCATGGGTACTGCATGTATGTGGTGCACATACATACACGCAAACAGAATACTCATACACATAATTTTTTTAAAAGATAAAACAAAACCTGTTCCATTGCTGTATAAATCACTCACACTCCATACTCTAACTCAAGACTATCCGAATCTCATCCTCTGGCAAATCAAATCTTCCCTCCAAGTGTGGGAGTTTTCTTTTCCCTCTCGACTTTGTTCCCCATGAGACTTTTCACTGGGAAAAATCATGTCATCTCTATTTCTAAGAATTGTTATTGAGAAAAGTTTCCTCAAACATTTTCTGTTGTTTGTTTTCTCTTTCTTGAAGTTGTATTATCTGGATATTTTGGTGATTCTGTATCTGCATAACTCTTAACAGTTCTTTTTAATTCTGTTTACTGGTTGTTTTCCGTGTTTCTGACTGTCCCTCAATCTGATCTTCCTTCCCATTTGGTCATTTGTTTACAGCTCCGCCCACCCCATTGTTTATCCCATCTGTGTTCTCTTTGAGGATTCTGTTTTTATATTTAATATTTATTTCATCAGCCATATCTTTCTATTTTGTGTTGCTTATCTCTGTGCTCACGTTAGAATGTTTATTATGCTTAAAATTTCTTAGTTTATCTTTTCTGGTATCTGTGCTGCTGATGAAATCTGTGATTCTGTTTTTATTTCTCTTTTGAAATAGCCATGTTTGCTGATTGGCTGGCTGCCCACCTTGGAGAGTGGCAGCTCTGCTGAGGATCACTAAACCTAGATCTTATTCCCTATCCGCCTTGTAGGTTGAATGGGAGGTGGGGGAAGTTGACTGTGTGGTGGGGAGTGCTTCTGTCTTCTTCTATACATGAAGAGCCACTGCAGGACCAAGGCCTCACACTCAGCCATTATCCTTAGCACCCCAAGGAGAAGCAGCCTTAAAGGGAGACCTTCCCACCCAGGAGTTGAAACAGGAAGGAGAAAGAAGCATCTTCTCAAGCCCACCTCGTCAGCCCTGTGAGTGCTTCATCTCCCTACCACCCAGTGCTTCTGCTCTGGCCAGAGGGCACTTCTGAGTCCAGCCTCAGATTCAGGCACGGAAGCAGGTGCCAGGGCAGCCAACAGATGGGGCAACTCCAACAGCTTCCTCCTTACCGTCTCACCACCATTGTTGCCTTCTGCCTCGAGAAGGCCCACAGCAACGGCCCCATCCAGGAGCACATGGACCAGTTCACAAGCGCACACTGTCTCCTTTTCCCCCTCATTTTGATGTCCTCTCTCTACAGTACACCCAGGGATGTTTCTGTGAGAGGGAGTCACCAAAACCATACAGCACCTGCTCTGTTCTTTCGTCAGTGTTCTCAGACCTCATACATTCACCTTGCTCCTGTTTGTACTTGTATGTGCCAGAGCAGATTTTTAATTCTGACACATAGATCTTCAATATCATCTTTTCTCTATTGCTTCCAAGTCCCTCTGCTTAGTATCTGTTTGGTACATATTTGGGCCATTTAGTCTGCCATCTCCCACGTCTTTGGCTGCTTTTTGGCCTTTTTTTGCCTCACATCCTGCTGCATCCTGGGCTGCCTCCCACTCCATGTGCCCACCGTTTTCTGTTGGCACCTAGTTTGGAACTTTCCCTATCCAGGGAGTTGTTTTATTCCAGTAGCTCTGTTCTTTATTTTTAGAATCTCTTATATTTGTTCATTCTTCCTTGATTTTGCTCCTTGTTTACTTATTCCTTTAAATGATGGTATCTTTTCAGATATGATAGAAGTTGGAGATGAGATTTCAGGTGAAATACCCTTTAAAAAGACTAGCCATTCCCAGTAGGGGAAGCTGGCAAGTTGGGATCGGAGATCCGACAGCTTCCCACCTTGCTCCTTCCAATCACTGTCCTTCCTGCTTGCTTTCGAGGAGTCTACGTACTCAGTGTTATTGCTTTTTAGATTTGCTTATTATTTTCATTTTGTCAACAGTGAACTCAGTTTTTTTCTGTTTTAGAATATTGGATGACAAGCTCTTATTGCATGGGTCAGGGCGTGTGTGTGTGTGTGTGTGTGTGTGTGTGTGTGTGTGTGTGTGTATGGTCTTACTCTTCCTCATCCCCCAGGGCAAGCTGTCCACACTCAGGACTCACCCTGGCAGCTTGAGGGTCCTTTCCTTTACTGGTGTCAGAGCTGCTGCAGATCTGGTCTGTAAATCCTGGAGTGCTATGGCTCAGCTGCTAGTGTGTGTGTGTGTGTGTGTGTGTGTGTTTATGCACACATGCAGTCAATGCTTAGCTCTCCAGTCTTGGAGGAACATCTTCCATCTGACTTCCCTCTCCAGAGCTGAACTGGTTTTTCTCTACCTTGCCCTGGACCCAGAGCCTGGAAGGTCTGCAGCCCGTGTTCTCTATATGTGTCCATGAGCATGCTAGCCTGGGTTCTAAGCATGGCTGTGTCTTTTTAATTTTCACATCTACCTTTTGCCTCATTGCTGGGTATCTGGAGAAGAAAGGTGTCCCCAAAGCATGAGCTTGCAGAACTCTTGGGGAGAAATCTGCTCCACCCATGACTGATGATTAGTGAAGTTCTCATTCACTTCTGTTATTGCTGTTGAACTGCATGTTTTCCGAGCTGGAAGGACACTCTTTGAGATATGAAACTTTGCAGTCTCCTTTATTTATGGTGGACAGATGTTTGTTCTTAAGTGACTGACTTCTTTCCTGCTAATGCTACTTCTTGGTCCTCTGCTCGCAAGGCTGTGTGGTGTTCCCAGCCTTTCCACAGCCCTTTTCAGCACTGGATTAACGGCTTGTGTAGCAGCCTGGAAAGCTGTACAGCTGAAACTCACTGTTCTTAGTTGCACAATAATGCCCAGATGAAAAGCACACCCACTATTTTAAAAGATAAGACAGGAGATCAAAATTATTTTAAATTTGATTTTTTTTCCTAATAGCTTTTCAGTAGAAAGCAGACTTGAACGTTCCTCTGTGTTTCGGAGCCAAAGACATAAAAATGCCACCTGACTGCGTGTGTTAGTCTTTAAATCCTGACAATTATTGTTTTTCTTTTTCTTTACTTATTGTAGAGAAACCCTTGGCTACTGATTTACATCATAACATATCTTTTGTCAGTGGGAAAATATTGCTGTCCTCTCATAAGTTTAGGAGCTGAGTTTCACTTTTCAGGGCCTGACTATCAAGGCACTATCCCATCCTCCTCTTGATAAGCTTCCTGGCCTGTCAGCTGCAGGAGTGCTTGATGCAGTCCAGGATGCCCTCTCCAGCAGCTGCTCCTGTGGCAGAAAACAAATCCTAGCAAGCTGAACAGTAAAGCTAACAGTTGCATTGAACTAACCACAAGGTACGTGTCTTTGTGAACAGCCAGCTCCTGTCCCTGTGCTGAGCAAGGAGGCAGTGCTGTCCAGGGCTCAGGTGGAGTGAGGTGGCTTAAAAACAACTGCCAAAAACTTCTATAGAAAACTCTTTAACTATTCTCTTTCTACAAATGAAA